ATACTTCCATGTAGCTTCACGAGACAAACGTTATCGGGCGCGTGTATCTAACAGATACAAAATTTCAAACAAGCTTAGAAACAGGAAATACTCCTACACCGAACTGGTCACTACTGCATTCCAAAGTAGCAGGGGGCCAGATGGACAGATACTGATAAGGTCAAGGTCGTAAGAAAATGTTTTAGGGGACAAAAGCAGAGATATTGACACACCTGTATCTGTCAGATCAACGCGCCCGATGGAGTGTTAAAGAGCCACTAAGAATTTCAAATTTACTATTATAGTATTTGCTAAATATGTATATTTGATTATACCTGACGAAAATGGTAACTTGAGTCTTGTCTTTTTTAAGTCGCGAGACTCATCTATAGCAAGTGATAAGAACCTAGTTGAATGTCTTCCATTTGCATTTGCGTTACATTTTAAGACATTTTATCAGTTCCATTTTGTAGTCTTTTAACAGATAATGGCAAATCATTGATTTTGAAGCTCTAGACGGTGGCTGATGGCTGAGATGGAAATGGAAAGCAACTAACTGAAAGATAAACATGATCACGGAGTTTCATCTCTACGAACAAAACAATAAATCAAATTTATCTCATTACGATAATGTTAAGTGTAGGGGTTTGTAATTAACGATTATGAAAAAAGCTATTGAGAAAATAGATACTTAAAAATATTTTTTAAGGACTTTGATAATAAGTTATTTTTTCGTATGAAACTGGAGAGCCGCAAGTTTGCATCAAAAGAGCCACATGCTCGCAAGCCACAGGTTGCCGACCTCTGTTCTAAAACAATCAAATATAGCTTAAAATAAAATTTAATGTTCTCAAAAATTTTCCAAAATATGTTTTGCATTATCTTTTTATAAAAAAAAGTAAACCGTAACTTGTATTTATAAATTTAATTAAATTAATGTAGTGATTAAAATATGAAATGTAAGGAATTTATGAATATAATTTAAATAAATAAATGATACAGATAAATAGAGATTTATAAATTTTTAAATATTATCTTCAAAAACATCAGGATTGAATTGTATTTTTAAATATTTTTGAAAGTTTTCATATTAAATGTTATTATTTAGACCAAATGCAAATCTTTCAAAAAACTCTGCTCACCATCAATTTTGGATACTGTAGAATATTTAAAATTACAATATTAAATGCCAAATTAACACTAATTCGTAAAAAAATTAATTCACTAGAAAAATGCTCTTAAAATTAAAGTAATATTCAAAATTTATAAAAAAAATGACTAAAAAAACTGAAATTAAAAGCAAAAAAACCTATAAGTCATACTCTGTGATGCCACAATTGGCATTACATATTTATTTTCTATCCTTTTAAAATATCTTTCATTACTTAAGCTTTTTTTATTAATAGAATTACATTTAAAATAAATCAAAGACTTAATCTTTTAAAATGAGAAGAAAATATTTATTCTTCTCTTATACATCAATGTAGCATATACTTTTTATTTCATTACTAATGCAGACTTATTAATTCACTGTTGCCTCTAATCGAAAACAAAAATCTATTAATAACTTTTTATTTTATTTTCTAACCGCTAAATGTTGTGGTTGCATGGTTGTAATAATTCTCATAAATTTGTTGGCGACTCGTGATCGCCAAGCTGTTCTTTTAAACCCAATATTGTTATGATGGTTGGCTTTGTTTTGGCTATGTTATATCTTGATAAATCGCCAATTTTGGATCTCCTACCCATACTTTCTATGTCCGTTTGGAATAATTATATTCACTTTTAATTTCAAATTTGTGGAGACTGGGAGTGCCCTTACGGGCCTCCCCAGTCTCAATTTCTAACCGTCAGAAATGATATTCTGGCTGTATGATCTCTCAATAAGAGGGTATTCTGAATTAATCCCTTTAAGGGATTTCTCTTTTTGGATGAAGAAATGGCCATTCTCTATATCACCAATTATGCTTAATAAAATCTAAATTTCACTAAACAATTTGAATATTCTTTCTTGGAGACTGTATAAAGTTATTTTCCACTATACGATTATTGGCAGCTACTGACGGAGAACAAACCTCCGCCATATACCCTATAAAGGTAAAATCAACCAAAAGTGCAAAAAAAAAAAAAAAAAAAAAAAAAAAAAAAAAAAAAAAAAAAAAAANAAAAAAAAAAGAAAAAAAAAAAAAAAAAAAAAAAAAATAATGCGTTTGACATCAACATTCTAGCCTTGTTAATAAGTTTCTTAAATAGTTTTTTTGTTCAATTTATTTATTTTATTTTATTGTTTTATTTCAATTTTTTGCAGGTCTTTTAGGTGTTTTAGTGTCTCTTCTCGTGGCAGCAGTTTATGTGGAAACACCTTCTGACGATCCAAAAATATCAGATCGTGAACTGCAGCATATATTACAAAGTTACAATAGTTCTCCTGTAAAAGTATGTTTAATATTAGATATGTATGCACATTTTTAACATTTGTAAATGAATCAAATGATTAATGCTCTAAAAAGGACAGAATACTTCAACATGCTGTGTCCGGAGTAGTAAAATTTAATAAGTTAGAATATAAAATAAGATACAGTAACTAGTTAAAAACAGTGAGAATATTAAAGGGGATTTCATCACAAATGCTTTTGAAGCTTTCTGTTCGGTGTTTGCGTATAGTAAAATGCACTGAGAAAAAGTGTGATCAAAACTACCAGAATATGGTAACATTTCCCATTTTTCTGGCTTCATGGGAACACTGATTTTGGTAATTTTTACCGTAGTTCTTTGGCAATGATTTTGGTAGAAAAAACAATAAAATGGTGTTTGATAATAAGTGATAAAATTTTGCGATTGCCCTAAAATTTAATAACTTTATCATGATACCTTAGAGCAGGGATGGCAAACTACGGCCCGCGGGCCAACTGTGGCCCTCTGGAAGATTCTATCCGGCCCGCGGATAGAATTTTTATTTGCCGATCAGTGGCAAATATAAACAATATACATTCATTTTCTTGTCGAGTATGTTTAAAATTATTTCTGTTTTTCCTTTTTCAACTAAGTACTGATGAAGTTTTTGCTTTCTCTATTTTTGTTCTACAAAACATAAATTGATGGAAATAGTTAGCTCAGACAGCTTCAATTGGTAAAATGTTGAAAGCAGAAGTTCTTTATAGAATAGCCGTAGATTGGCTCCAACTAGAGCTTGTCTCTCTCGAGGAGCTGACTTATGGAATCTAATATAGATAAATTGCACTTCACATTTGGCAGACTGCGCATTTTACGCTTCAAAGAGCGGACAATC